GTCTGTTTAGGTCTGTGTAGGTCTGTGTAGGTCTGTGTAGGTCTGTTTAGGTCTGTTTAGGTCTGTGTAGGTCTGTGTAGGTCTGTTTAGGTCTGTTTAGGTCTGTTTAGGTCTGTTTAGGTCTGTGTAGGTCTGTTTAGGTCTGTGTAGGTCTGCTCAGGTCTGTGTAGGTCTGTTTAGGTCTGTGTAGGTCTGTGTAGGTCTGCTCAGGTCTGTGTAGGTCTGTTTAGGTCTGTGTAGGTCTGTGTGGGTCTGTGTAGGTCTGCTTAGGTCTGTTTAGGTCTGTTTAGGTCTGTGCAGGTCTGTGTAGGTCTGTTTAGGTCTGTGTAGGTCTGTGTAGGTCTGCTTAGGTCTGTGTAGGTCTGTGTAGGTCTGTTTAGGTCTGTGTGGGTCTGTGTAGGTCTGTGTAGGTCTGTGTAGGTCTGTTTAGGTCTGTGTAGGTCTGTTTAGGTCTGTGTAGGTCTGTTTAGGTCTGTTTAGGTCTGTTTAGGTCTGTGTAGGTCTGTGTAGGTCTGTTTAGGTCTGTGTAGGTCTGTGTAGGTCTGCTCAGGTCTGTGTAGGTCTGTGTGGGTCTGTGTAGGTCTGTGTAGGTCTGTGTAGGTCTGTGTAGGTCTGTTTAGGTCTGTTTAGGTCTGTGTGGGTCTGTGTAGGTCTGTGTAGGTCTGTGTAGGTCTGTAGGTCTGTTTAGGTCTGTGTAGGTCTGTGTAGGTCTGTTTAGGTCTGTGTAGGTCTGTGTAGGTCTGTGTAGGTCTGTGTAGGTCTGTTTAGGTCTGTTTAGGTCTGTGTAGGTCTGTGTAGGTCTGTGTAGGTCTGTTTAGGTCTGTTTAGGTCTGTGTAGGTCTGTGTAGGTCTGTTTAGGTCTGTTTAGGTCTGTGTAGGTCTGTGTAGGTCTGTTTAGGTCTGTGTAGGTCTGCTCAGGTCTGTGTAGGTCTGTTTAGGTCTGTGTAGGTCTGTGTGGGTCTGTGTAGGTCTGTGTAGGTCTGTTTAGGTCTGTGTAGGTCTGTTTAGGTCTGTGTAGGTCTGTGTAGGTCTGTTTAGGTCTGTGTAGGTCTGTTTAGGTCTGTTTAGGTCTGTGTAGGTCTGTGTAGGTCTGTTTAGGTCTGTGTAGGTCTGCTCAGGTCTGTGTAGGTCTGTTTAGGTCTGTGTAGGTCTGTGTAGGTCTGTGTAGGTCTGTTTAGGTCTGTGTAGGTCTGTGTAGGTCTGCTCAGGTCTGTGTAGGTCTGTTTAGGTCTCTGTAGGTCTGTGTAGGTCTGCTCAGGTCTGTGTAGGTCTGTTTAGGTCTGTGTAGGTCTGTGTAGGTCTGTTTAGGTCTGTGTAGGTCTGTGTAGGTCTGTTTAGGTCTGTGTAGGTCTGTTTAGGTCTGTGTAGGTCTGTTTAGGTCTGTGTAGGTCTGTGTAGGTCTGCTCAGGTCTGTGTAGGTCTGTTTAGGTCTGTGTAGGTCTGTGTGGGTCTGTGTAGGTCTGTGTAGGTCTGTGTAGGTCTGTTTAGGTCTGTGTAGGTCTGTTTAGGTCTGTGTAGGTCTGTGTAGGTCTGTTTAGGTCTGTTTAGGTCTGTGCAGGTCTGTGTAGGTCTGTGTAGGTCTGTGTAGGTCTGTGTAGGTCTGCTTAGGTCTGTTTAGGTCTGTTTAGGTCTGTGCAGGTCTGTGTAGGTCTGTGTAGGTCTGTGTAGGTCTGTTTAGGTCTGTGTAGGTCTGTGTAGGTCTGCTTAGGTCTGTGTAGGTCTGTGTAGGTCTGTTTAGGTCTGTGTAGGTCTGTTTAGGTCTGCTTAGGTCTGTGTAGGTCTGTGTAGGTCTGTTTAGGTCTGTGTGGGTCTGTGTAGGTCTGTGTAGGTCTGTGTAGGTCTGTTTAGGTCTGTGTAGGTCTGTGTAGGTCTGTCTAGGTCTGTGTAGGTCTGTGTAGGTCTGCTTAGGTCTGTTTAGGTCTGTTTAGGTCTGTGTAGGTCTGTGTAGGTCTGTGTAGGTCTGTGTAGGTCTGTCTAGGTCTGTGTAGGTCTGTGTAGGTCTGTGTGGGTCTGTGTAGGTCTGTGTAGGTCTGTGTAGGTCTGTTTAGGGCTGTGTAGGTCTGTGTAGGTCTGTGTAGGTCTGTTTAGGTCTGTGTAGGTCTGCTTAGGTCTGTTTAGGTCTGTGTAGGTCTGTGTAGGTCTGTGTAGGTCTGTGTAGGTCTGTTTAGGTCTGTGTAGGTCTGTGTAGGTCTGTGTAGGTCTGTGTAGGGCTGTTTAGGTCTGTGTAGGTCTGTGTAGGTCTGTTTAGGTCTGTGTAGGTCTGTGTAGGTCTGTGTAGGTCTGTTTAGGTCTGTTTAGGTCTGTTTAGGTCTGTGTGGGTCTGTGTAGGTCTGTTTAGGTCTGTTTAGGTCTGTGTGGGTCCGTTTAGGTCTGTGTAGGTCTGTGTAGGTCTGCTTAGGTCTGTGTAGGTCTGCTTAGGTCTGTGTAGGTCTGTGTAGGTCTGCTTAGGTCTGTGTAGGTCTGTGTAGGTCTGCTTAGGTCTGCTTAGGTCTGTGTAGGTCTGCTTAGGTCTGTGTAGGTCTGTGTAGGTCTGTGTAGGTCTGCTTAGGTCTGTTTAGGTCTGTGTAGGTCTGTGTAGGTCTGTGCAGGTCTGTGTAGGTCTGTGTAGGTCTGCTTAGGTCTGTGTAGGTCTGTGTAGGTCTGCTTAGGTCTGCTTAGGTCTCTGTAGGTCTGCTTAGGTCTGTGTAGGTCTGCTCAGGTCTGTGTAGGTCTGTGTAGGTCTGTTTAGGTCTGTTTAGGTCTGTTTAGGTCTGTGTAGGTCTGTGTAGGTCTGTTTAGGTCTGTGTAGGTCTGTTTAGGTCTGTGTAGGTCTGTGTAGGTCTGTGTAGGTCTGTGTAGGTCTGCTCAGGTCTGTGTAGGTCTGTTTAGGTCTGTGTAGGTCTGTGTAGGTCTGTGTAGGTCTGCTTAGGTCTGTTTAGGTCTGTGTAGGTCTGTGTAGGTCTGTGTAGGTCTGTGTAGGTCTGTTTAGGTCTGTGCAGGTCTGTGTGGGTCTGTGTAGGTCTGTTTAGGTCTGTGTAGGTCTGTTTAGGTCTGTGTAGGTCTGTGTAGGTCTGCTTAGGTCTGTGTGGGTCTGTGTAGGTATGTGTAGGTCTGTGTAGGTCTGTGTAGGTCTGTTTAGGGCTGTGTAGGTCTGTGTAGGTCTGTGTAGGTCTGTTTAGGTCTGTGTAGGTCTGTGTAGGTCTGCTTAGGTCTGTTTAGGTCTGTGTAGGTCTGTGTAGGTCTGTGTAGGTCTGTGTAGGTCTGTCTAGGTCTGTGTAGGTCTGTTTAGGTCTGTGTAGGTCTGTGTAGGTCTGTGTAGGTCTGTGTAGGTCTGTTTAGGTCTGTTTAGGTCTGTGTAGGTCTGTTTAGGTCTGTTTAGGTCTGTTTAGGTCTGTGTAGGTCTGTGTGGGTCTGTGTAGGTCTGTGTAGGTCTGTGTAGGTCTGTTTAGGTCTGTGTAGGTCTGTGTGGGTCTGTGTAGGTCTGTGTAGGTCTGTTTAGGTCTGTTTAGGTCTGTGTAGGGCTGTTTAGGTCTGTGTGGGTCCGTTTAGGTCTGTGTAGGTCTGTGTAGGTCTGCTTAGGTCTGTGTAGGTCTGTGTGGGTCTGTGTAGGTCTGTGTAGGTCTGTGTAGGTCTGTGTAGGTCTGTTTAGGTCTGTGTAGGTCTGTGTAGGTCTGTGTGGGTCTGTGTAGGTCTGTGTAGGTCTGTGTAGGTCTGTTTAGGGCTGTGTAGGTCTGTGTAGGTCTGTGTAGGTCTGTTTAGGTCTGTGTAGGTCTGTGTAGGTCTGCTTAGGTCTGTTTAGGTCTGTGTAGGTCTGTGTAGGTCTGTCTAGGTCTGTCTAGGTCTGTGTAGGTCTGTTTAGGTCTGTGTAGGTCTGTGTAGGTCTGTTTAGGTCTGTTTAGGTCTGTGTAGGTCTGTGTGGGTCTGTTTAGGTCTGTGTAGGTCTGTGTGGGTCTGTGTAGGTCTGTTTAGGTCTGTTTAGGTCTGTGTAGGTCTGTGTAGGTCTGTGTAGGTCTGTTTAGGTCTGTGTAGGTCTGCTTAGGTCTGTGTAGGTCTGCTTAGGTCTGTGTAGGTCTGTGTAGGTCTGTGTAGGTCTGTGCAGGTCTGTGTAGGTCTGTGTAGGTCTGCTTAGGTCTGTTTAGGTCTGTGTAGGTCTGTGTAGGTCTGTGCAGGTCTGTGTAGGTCTGTGTAGGTCTGCTTAGGTCTGTGTAGGTCTGTGTAGGTCTGCTTAGGTCTGCTTAGGTCTCTGTAGGTCTGCTTAGGTCTGTGTAGGTCTGTTTAGGTCTGTTTAGGTCTGTTTAGTCTGGTCTGTGTAGGTCTGTGTAGGTCTGTTTAGGTCTGTGTAGGTCTGTGTAGGTCTGTGTAGGTCTGTGTAGGTCTGTGTAGGTCGTGTGTAGGTCTGTGTAGGTCTGTGTAGGTCTGTGTAGGTCTGTGTAGGTCTGTGTAGGTCTGTGTTTAGGTCTGTGTAGGTCTGTGTAGGTCTGTGTAGGTCTGTGTAGGTCTGTGGCTTAGGTCTGTGTAGGTCTGTGTAGGTCTGTGTAGGTCTGTGTAGGTCTGTGTAGGTCTGTTTAGGTCTGTTAGGTCTGTGTAGGTCTGTGTAGGTCTGTGTAGGTCTGTGTAGGTCTGTGTAGGTCTGTGTAGGTCTGGTGTAGGTCTGTGTAGGTCTGTGTGTAGGTCGTTAGGTCTGTGTAGGTCTGTGTAGGTCTGTGTAGGTCTGTGTAGGTCTGTGTAGGTCTGTGTAGGTCTGTGTAGGTCTGTGTAGGTCTGTTAGGTCTGCTTAGGTCTGTGTAGGTCTGCTTAGGTCTGCTTAGGTCTGTGTAGGTCTGCTTAGGTCTGTGTAGGTCTGTGTAGGTCTGCTCAGGTCTGTGTAGGTCTGTGTAGGTCTGTGTAGGTCTGCTTAGGTCTGTGTAGGTCTGCTCAGGTCTGTGTAGGTCTGTGTAGGTCTGCTTAGGTCTGTGTAGGTCTGCTTAGGTCTGCAGATTCCTGTGACTGTGGCCAGCTCCACATTCCTCTGCTACAATGAC